CTCTCTCTCTCTCTCTCTCTCTCTCTCTCTATCTCTCTCTCTATCTCTCTCTCTCGCCGCACAGATATACAAAGTGCGAACGAAACGAATTCCTATTAGCGATAGAGAAACAGAAATGTCGGCGCGGTGAAAAGCGAGCCCGACGGCTCCCCGATATAAATACATAAAATCGGGCAATCATCCTAAATGGGCGCCTCGCTACCGGATCAGGAGCGGCTGTCGCCTTTTTCGAGCTGTCGTCTGTCGCCTGTCGTTTGTCGCGCGACAAGGGAGCGCGCAATTCCAACGCCACGTAGTTGAAAACGAAAAAGCGTAGAACGACGGAAAAGCGTTTGACAAGTACAATTTCCGTCTCTGACATGTCACGCTCGCTCGGTGCTTTTATTACTTTCGCCTGCGTCTCCCTCCACCCGTTCTCCTCCTCATAAGGAGATACGTTAACATTGATCGTATTGTCTCGTGAGCATCCGAACGAGGCATTAATTCATTCTCATGATATTACAGAGCAGCACATGAAATGACGTGCCATTTGTTCTATATGATGCATTTATTTTTAACAAAGTTTACATCACGTGCGTTATAGATTTACAGAGTATTGGCAGAAAATTTGGAAGCACAGCCAAAATTGGTTCAGAATTGGATATAATATTATATAGAACTATAGAATTGATTATATCAAAGCCTGAAAATATTGGAAAGAAAATTAAATTAATAATATTTCATGCGCTAGTCTGTATATGTATTTGTCCTTTTGTCGTCAAATTATTCTAAAGTGTTAAGAAATAATTTGTTATTAACCCTTCGCGTCTCTGCCATGAAATTTTAGCACCTTCCATCAGCAATCTGGTTCTTCGAGTTTCAGTGCAATTTGCAGATTTTTGTGTTGTCCCGAACCGATAAAAATCTGAAAAAATTCTAGCACACTCGTGAAAGTCGATGAGTTTTGCTATCATAAAAGTTGGATTGTATTTTACTTATTTTTTACAGATTGAAATTTATCTACTAGATTTTCCTCAATTAAAAGATCTATGCTTTCAAAGTCAAACTTGGCCGCCGAAGACTTAATATTATGTCCTCTTTTTTTTTTTTGCTCGATTTGTGATGTACACATTTCTCTCTTCGGCCAGATGACCTTCATAATGCGAATGTTATTCGCTCGTTCATAGCGATTCTATATCCGATGGCCGAGGAACGAACAGACGTGATCGCCGTCTGTCTGGCGGCGTCTATCCGAAAAAAAGTGGTTTCGATTTTAACACGGCTCGACCGTGTTCCCGTAGCGGCGAAACCGCAAACGATCGGAAATAGAGAAACTACTTCGCGGGGATAGTTGCGGGGAGACCCGTTTTACGGACAGGAAATGAACGGTGCTTCGGCACTGTGTTTTAGGAAACGCGCACGAGGCACTTAACCGCCATGAAAATTGATTGGCCTCCTGTGTCCGATCAAAATACCACCCAACTAGGTGTTGCACCGTTCCCCGAAACGGAACCAGAACTTACTTTCCCCGCCGAAAGATCACCGGAGCAATAATTTTATTTTTCTCGGAACAACGCTTCCCCATAGAATGACAATCTTGACTTATATATGTCCATAGAAAAATATATTTTCCAAATTTAATTCATAGAGCATTTTTTTCAAACAGTTTCTGCAAGTAAACCCACACAATTTTGCTGATACATCTAAAAATCTAGCTCTCTCTCTCTCTCTCTCTAAGTACATACAAATCGATAAAAGTCATTTTATCGGACTAATTATAAAAATAAGAAGCTCAAGCTAGGTTACTAGAATTAATCATGCTTAAGTTTCCTACATTATTATTTTAATGGTTCAACAAAATTATTTTCAGATCTGTATCTATTTTTTTAGATACTTCGATAATATCCTTTCACGAACGTGAGTTTCATTGGCAATTTGAGAGTAGGCGTTATACTATATATTCCGAAATTACCTAAAAAATCGTCGATATAACGTCCCTATCTCGCGCACAATAATCCCGAAAATATCTCCGGGCGCCCAACGAGCGTGTCGCGTTGGCGGATTTATTTTTCATCGGAACTATCAATTTCCATAAGCGCGGCTCGTTGTTCCCGTCGCGAAATTGAGCCGCCATTCGACGATGAGGCAGCGGCGGCGCGGCAGCGCGGCGACGATGGTGGCGGCGATGGCATGGAAAAAGCATAGCACGTTCGCGTTCGCTCTCTCGCGCGAAGCGCAATCACAATAAATTTTCTACTCTCGTATAAATATGGCAGCGCGCCGCTCATGATTTTATAAACGCGCTTCGCATGTCGTGTACATATATATATATATATATATACACGCACGCACGCACGCACGCACG